CGGTATACACACACACACACACACACACACACACACACACACACACACACACACACACACACACACACACACACACACACACTCTCTCTCTCTCTCTCTTTCTCTCTCTCTCTCTCTCTCTCTCTCTTTCTCTCTCTCTCTCTCTCTTTCTCTCTCTCTCTCTCCCTCCCCCCCTCTCTTTTTCTCGCTTTTCCTCTGTGTGTATGTGTATGTATGTGTTTATTTGTATTGGACTCTGAACTAGTATCATTGGTGTTATACTGCTGATGCTCATCTTCTCTTGGTTCCTGAAATAAATAATTTCAATATTTGTTTCTCTGGGCGTGTTTTCACAGTGTCTCCATACCTGAAGACTTTGTCCATGGTTGCCAGCACAAAGCTTCTGCATTTATTGGAGGTTTGTACTTGTCCGTGTATGTGTGTGTGAGTAAGTATATGTGTATATTTGTTTGTGTTTTAGGAAGGGGGCTGGGGGATATGGATGTGTGTCTTTACATGCATATGTTTTGTGTGTATATAAGTTTGTTCACCTGCGAATGTGTGTGTTCACGCATTTGTCAGCATAACCTTTTTGCGTCTTTGCTTTCTTTGGGGATGGGGAGGCTAGTTTCAAGTAAATATGTCCTTGAAAATAAAGACATTTGATAACAGGGTGAAAAGGGGTCTTAATCATGTAAATGAAGATATAAAATGTTAACAGTTAACTTAATCTTCTTATGTCGCGACCTCAGAGCTTTCTTGTCGTATCTCCAATTTTTTTCACAGTGAAAATGTGACATCCTCTTAAGCTCACTCCTTGTTATGAACTGTTTTCACTGTTATTAAAAATGGAGATACGATAAGAAAGCACTGGGGTCGCGATGTGCTCTGCCCTTCCCTCCCAATACGTTCAGCATTCCCTCATAAATGGTTTTAAGTGTTTCAGTCAAGATGTAAAGTGTTTCCAGTAAACCTATCTATGTGTTTTATCCCACCCTCCATCCCTCCAGGCATTTAGCACTCCTTGGTTCCTGTATGCCAGCGCCACCAACCACCACCTGGTCTTCTTCCTCCTTGAGGTTTTCAACAACATCATACAGTACCAGTTTGATGGTGAGTATGCTTACTTTATTTTTTCCTTCTCTCTGTTATTTTCTGTCTTGTCTATCTTGCTTTTCCTCTGTACTAAGTGACCTTTATTCCTGTCAGTGTGCTTCTCTTTACTCTAACAAACCCCTAAACCTTGCTGTGAGTGCCAGGGAATGTTGGGAGCGGGTGTGAATGTTGGGAGTGTGTGTGAGTGTGAGAGAGGCTGTTGATGATACTTGTAAATTTATTTTTTTGGCTTTCTATTTAGTATTTCAATCCCTTTATGTCACATATTTCAGCAATAGGAACTAACAATGGTTTTTTGTCTTTTTTTAGTCATGGGAGCTTTGCCAGCACTATTGAGTTCACTTAGTTAAATGACAATTAGTTAAGCATTTCGGGAAGGAAGTGCAGGTGTTGTTTCTGGAAGTAACTTTATCCACTGTCCCATGCGATACTCCCCCTTTGGCCGGTCATTGTGACAATTTGATAAACTGTGCGAATGACTGTCTCTCAGGCAATGCCAACCTGGTCTACACCATCATTCGAAAGAGGAACGTGTTCCACCAGCTGGCCAACCTGCCCATCGACCACTCGGCCATTGCCAAGGCCATGACGAAGAGAGGGAGGAAGTTTGCAGCACCCCCACAAGATACCCGTGACCCGCAGACGATGGAAGGGGCACAACCGGCTCTGGAGGCGGAGCCAGGCACACTCAAAGTGTCACTGGCAGCCACGCCACGTAAGTGTAGACTGGAGCCGTAGGGCACAACGAGGACTTGTAAAACTGACCCACTGGTTGACAAACTTCTCACTGACTGACTGATTGACTGAACGACACGCTGTATGACACACTTACTGACAAACTGACAGATACACTTACTGACATACTGTTAAAAATTGAGTGACACACTGACAAACACCGACTGACTGACCCTCCATCTGTTTGTCTCTAGTATTGACAAAATGATTGATGCATTGACCAACAGGCTCACTCTCACACTCTTTGACACACTGTTTGACATTCTGATCAACACACTTTCACTCACACTGTCTGTTTGTCTCCGGGCAGGTGATTGATGGATACTCTGGTGTGATTTGCTCCTTTTCTATCAAATATCTATTGTCCTGATCTCTCTTTTCTTGTGTTTGTAATTCTCTTGTAACATTTTAAATCTTCGACACTTAAATGACCTTATTTTGTTGCTAGTGACGTAAAATTCTTACTAAAACTAAAACTGTTTATATTAGGGATTGACAAAATGACGGAGAAAGCAGCCCCAGATGACAACCACAGACAACCCACCCTGAAGGAACTGGCGGAGACTCCTGGTCCTCAGAATGTTCAGCCTCCCAATGAGATCCAGGATCCGGTGGACAGCGATGACCGGAACGAGAATGCTGCGGCAGCATCCGGCGGCTCGGGCAGTGCTCAGTCCTCTCCGACCCGCTCCAGTAGCAAGGCCGGTGCAGCCTCACAGCAGCCCAGCGTGACGGTACGTCATACGTCACTTTTCGAAATGGCGTATGGTGGAGTCTTACACTAAGCAGTTGATCCCAAGTGTCCATTTATTATCGGGGAGAAAAGAAGTCATCTTAGACAGGTGGTCCTCTTGGACAGTGTCATTATACTATAGAAAAACCTGCAATGATTGAGTGGAGAGTGGTTGTTTTTACAGGAGATTGTCTTAGACAGATGGTCCTAAGAGCAGGTTTTACTGTATTATAATATATCCAAGAGGACCACCTGACTAAAATGACCACTTTTTTCAGTTGTGACTAAATATAGGCCTATACTGTCTAGCTCGCACATAGCAAAATCCATGGGGTGTGGAAATCTTAAATATACAAAGAATTAAAGAAACATTTCGGGGCTCTCGTGGTTAAGAGGTTAAGGTGTTGGCCTCTCATTCAAAGGTCCCGGGTTCGAATCCGGGTAGCGACCGAAAAATTTTCTTCTCTAAAATTGTCTCCTTTCACCTCCTTTCCTGCTCTCTAGCAATGTTCTGTTGCCTGCTTTCATTTCCACTTTCTGCCCCCACCCCCTCACCTCCTTTCCCCCCTCCTCTGGGCTCCTGACTCTTTCTGCAGCCTTTCTACTGCTACTCCTTGCCTCCTCCTAACTGCTGTCTTTCTGCCACACCCCTGATCTTCTGGTAGGAAAGATCTACACCTAGCCTTCTCGGACAAGAGCGAAAAATCTCGGAGGGCCCGTGTGCAAGTTGCGCCGGAGGGCCCGTGTGCAAGTTGCGCACGTTAATGATCCCTTGGTGGTCTAAAATCGATAAGAGTAGGCTTCGGCTGCCACCCGGGCAAAATTCAAAATTTCCTACAAACTGAAAATATTAGGTGTATCCCACGCGCTCATGTGACCTTATGCAGTTGCGAGCGCCGTAAAACACTTTACAAAAACAAAAAAACAAAGAAACATTTCGGGACCTGTTAGTCTGTACATTAATTGCATGTTAGCTGTAATTTAAAAAAAAAAATTTTTGTGGGTGGTTGGTTTACATGGCGGCGCTTGGTTTTATTGTGTGTACATCCCTTTGTCTTTTGTGTATGTTTTTTGGGATGAGCCGGACTGGACTGCAAACAGGCTGACAGCACTTTTATACATCAGCAGGAGGTGCATTCCCTCCATCATAGGAATAGGTTGTTTGTCTATAAGTGATATTAATTTTGGCATGTTTCCTCTTATCTTGTCATAGCCTGCTTCCTTTTGTACTTGTTGTATCCAGTAAAACATTTAACTTGTTAAGAAGCAATATAAAGACAATAACAGTTAATTGGCAGCTGAAAGTTCCCCCCCACTTACTCCCTACCTCCTGTCTGTGATCTGTGTGCTCTCTTGCCTTCAGAATTGGCAATCATTTTTTTTTTTTTTTGTGTGTGTGAATTACGCAGGTGTCTCCACCCGCCACGCCAACCACACCCACCAGCCCACTCACGCCCACCAGCCCCGGGGCAGAGTCTATAGGGGACAGAAGCAGAATGCTCAAGGCAGGGACACCAGGCCACTGGGTAGCTTCACCAGAATGGGTAGGTTGTCCAGAATGGTAGTTTATACCGCTGTGTCTTGCCATCAGATAGAATTGATTTGTACATTTGTTGTCTTGGTGTTGACTGCCAATTAAGCAGAATGAGTTCATGAATCTCCTCCCCCCCTCCCCCACATATACACTCTCACGCACACACACGCACACACTCACACACACACACACACACACAAAACGCTACAGCACAAGGGTTTACGTCATAATATTCGGATGGCCTACTTGCAGAAGATGTGAGTTCAGTTCCCATATAGGGAAGATAGATCAGATCTTTGTGCTGGGATGTCTTATTCAGCTCAGTTTGGATAGGCCTTGAGAGGCAAGTTCATAGCAGCATACCTTGTAAATTATCTAAATTGTGTTAACAAAGACATAAAACTTTAACAGTCCATCAATCAATCCCACTTGTGATGTGCACCGTCTCAGTTCTTCGAGTCCTTCTCAGTTGTTTTTCTGGTCACTCCTGGAATATTTCCTCTCACCCTGGTTTGTTAATAGGGGACTATATTTTGTCATGATCTATAATGTGTTTAGTAGAGTATTACTACCACATTGACAGCAACAATAATAACAACCATGTATACAACAACAACAATAGTAATAACCACATTGACAACTGCAACAAGAATAAGATAGATAAGATAAGATACATCTTAATTGTCCAGATCCTGGCACATTAGTTTGGTGTGCGCACACACAGACACATACACACACTCACACACACACACACACATGCACAAACATGCACACACCTGCAGGCTTACAATCACATGTATTATAAATGAGCAGCAATATAAACGATAATAATCTAAGCTAGATATGTACTCAATGTTATTCTGATGCATCCTCTAAGGTCATATGAATACTTATACAATATGGTTAACAATAGTAACAACCACATTGACAACATCTACAACAACAATAACAATAGTAAAAACCACATTGACAACAACTGCCACAACAACCACAGTGACTACAACTACAACTGTTGTTGTTATAACTACACTTGCAACAACTGCAATAACAACTATAATAACAACCACATTGTCAACAGCAGTAGTTACAGCTTGCCAGTGATGTGCCATGAACCATGTATCATGTCTTCCCCCCCCCCCTCCCTCAGGTCCAGTCGTGGAAGCAGAAGCTGCCGCTGCAGACCATCATGAGGATGCTGCAGGTGCTGGTGCCGCAGGTGGAGAAGATCTGCATAGACAAGTGAGTAGCGCCTCCTTTGCTCTGCATACTCATGTCACTTGCATATTGTTTTTGGGATTGGTTTTTGACTTAATTGTTTCTCATTTTAACTCACTTCAGACGGGTCACACAACAGTTGCGTGACCCCCGCCGCGACGCTCGCGACGGGTCACACAAGCCCTGCGTGACCAACTTTGGAATTTTTTTTTCGCTCTACAAATCACGCACGGATCGCGAGACCCGCCTCGTACCCTTGTTTGGCCAAGCCTGAGTTACTTAGACTTCGTTTCGTATCTCTGGGGCCGGTAGTTTTTAAGTTATTGAAGGTGAAGGACAGTGACCCCAACTGGGGTTGAACAGACCGGAACTCGCGCTTTGTATTTTTCTATACAGCTCATAGTAATCCGACAGTCGCGTCGTAGTAACGGTCGAAGAAGTCGCATGAACAAGAATCACATAATTTCGCCGTTTTCTATACTTCTGTGCGTTTTACTAGTTCTAGTGTCTCAGAATATGATGTATCTAATTGTTAGGATCCTGGATATGTACCCAAACACGGCCCGAGTCGTAGTTCTAGGGCTAGATCTAGCACTAGTACCGGTGTTGTTTTTCACGCAACGAAATCACAACGTCGTGCCGTACATGTCTCATGTTATTCAGTGTATGGGTCTGAATCAATGCACAGACCAGCTTTTATATTTTCACCAAACACTCGCACATGTATACAAATCAAACCAGAACACTTTGAACTTTTATTTTTGTTGTTGCAGTGAATTTCATTCTACTTGTCACGTCTCTGGAAATTTTTCGGAAAATCAAATTCATGCCAATTTTTAAAAAATCATACAAATTAAAGTATTAGACTTAGACAACTTTAGTTTTTTGTATTAGATTAAGCTTGAATGTTACTTTACTGTGTCAAAAAATGATTACAATAGGGTAATCCTGAGAGTTGTGGTGATTTATTGAAATACCCCCAAAAACGCCAGTCCTCAACGCTTGTGACTGGTGAAAGGGCCCAGTCGCAAGTGAGTTAAGATAATGAATGCTCTTTTTCACATAATTAAGCGACCAGCTAGAATCTTCAGTAGAATATTCTTTTTGGCTTAACATTTTCTGAATGGTATTGTTTTTTATCCCGTGTCGTAAGAGTGCATCCTGAACACATTGTGTTCTGGGCAGGTGGTATTCCCTGTGCTCATGACTTTTCCCACAGCGCCTTCACAAGTGGATTCCCAATTTGAAGTGATACCTTTACAAAAATCAACTGCCACATTTTACCGCAGAAATAAAAATTGAAGGGGGGGGGGATGGCAGGACATATGCTCTAAGAATCTTAACACTCACCCATGTCAAATGGCTATAGTGCTCATATATATGGAGGTCAGTTGATCTTAATAGTATGTAGCAATCCTACACAGCTGAGAGCTGTTGAATGTGCTTATAATGGGAAAAAAGAAGAGAAGCTATTGAAAAAAATGCTTATTCTGATGACATTTATGCAAGTGCAATAGAGAGAGATTCTCATTCAGATAACAGTAAAGTAAAATAAAATTGTTCCCCCATCCAATCCGGACTTTGGGGATTGCCTTGTTAGTGAGACGTCTTCCTGGGCCTTCGGCATACTGCGGTAAGGTGGCCAGTTCCTTTCCACGCCGCTTTACTTCCCCAACTCGAAATCAGGTTCCCATTACTGCTGGATGTGGGCAGGGGGGGGGGGGGGGCAAAAAATATCTGTGTCTGAACCGAGGCTCAAGCCCGGACTTTCCGCTTCGGAGACGTGCTCCGCCACCGCAAATAACAGTAACAAGGTTAAAAGACATTGCTTCGTCAGTTAAGTACCTCCACAAAGATACACAGTACAGGAGATAGATCGAGACCTGTGAGAGGGCCAGGTGATGTTAAAAGAGGGTGTTATGTGCAATTTCAATGTAGATAAACAATGAAAAGAGAAAATGATAGCCTATGGATGTTCTGTTTGCTCTAATGTAGTGTCTTACACAGCTCTAGCTGTTCCTTAAGGGCAGGTTCATTGCAGCATACTCGTTAAATTGATTAGATTTAATTGTGTATTGCATAATTAAGTGGATGTGAAGATTTACAATAATTCTTTTTTTTTCCCCCCGCAGAGGTCTGACAGATGAGACAGAGATCCTGAAGTTCCTCCAGCATGGCACTCTGGTGGGTCTCCTGCCCGTCCCTCACCCCATCCTGATCCGCAAGTACCAGGCGAACAGTGGCACCACCATGTGGTTCAGGACCTACTTGTGGGGGGTCATATACCTCAGGTATGCTGCTGATGTGTGTGTGTGTGTGTGTGTGTGTGTGTGTGTGTGTGTGTGTGTGTGTGTGTGTGTGCGTGCATGCATATGGGGTGTAAGGGGGGGGGGGGGGGGTGTCAACATGTCTATGTGATATTTTTATGTCTGAAGGGGTATTACACGCTCTGTGCAAACTGACAGTTGTCTGTTCTTTTTGTGATAAAAAAATATTTCTTGATGCAGTCTTGGTAAAAATAAATTTTTGTGATCATCAAAATCAAGTGAGAAAAATAGTCATTCGCGAGTCATTTTTATTCATTTTATACCCTGTTTCTGAATTTGATATTATTTTTATATTATGATCTAGTTTTGAATAAGTTTATATATGAAATGTTTATCGTTGGCAGGCCGCAGTGTCCGGCTAGCAGCCTACAAGAAAAACCAGGCATAGCCTAATTTTTTTGCGTGCGGCTGACTGGTTAGCCAGCTACACCTGCTGCCCGCTAACAATAAAGATTTATATATAAACTTTTGAATAACAAATTCAAACATTATCTTTAATTCTAAATAAATCTGTCAGTTGTACATACATTAAACAGAAAAATTACAAAAGTGCTGTAAAATGGGAAACAAGAGTTCTAATGTACAGCCGAAGAACTTCTGCTGAGGCCTCTCCGAATAAAAGATTATTCTATTTTTGTCTTACTTCATTGCCTCTTCTCCTGTTTGTTCCCTGTTCCCTCATGTTTTCTTCAAATGGGTGTGTTCTTATTGTGTTTGCGCTGGACAATACTTCAGTGTGGATTTGACCCCTAAGCTCTGGTGACTATTTCATGTAAACTGATTTGTTACATGACAGATAGTAAGCCCAAAACAGCCTTATAATGCTTTGAAAGTTAAGACGCGTTCAATTTCAAGAGATTTTCGTCGAAAAAAATGACAAAGACCAAAGCTGCCTCTCTGTCGACACAGGAACAAGTGAACCCTAGCTCTGTACAGGTGAGATGTTTTCTTTCTTTTGAATACTTTCTCTCAGAAATACCTAATACTTTCTGTCTAGTTTTGTCTCACTTCATGAGACATTTTCTCCTTTTCCTTCTCTGTTTATGAACTTATTGACTACACTGATCCTCCTCAAGGGTAATATTTTCCTTTATATCTTGCATAACCTGACTTCTTAACTCTTTATCTCCGGCAAGCCGCTCCCAGCGGAGATGAATGGTTAAATCGGCATCAGTAGAGTGTTATGAATTTCAGGTTACTGCTTTTTTAGAATTAATTAATTTAGCCTATTTTTTCGTTTACTAAAGCTCAATATTTTCCTCTATCACTCATATCACATATCTGTGATGTCTTGTTTTCCCAGTTTCTTCTGGTCTTGACAATATTTATGCTCTTTCCTTTAACATTTCCTCACATAACATTTCCTCTCCTTCGTTAGCTTCAACCTTTACCCTTATATTAAAAAGTAACTTTGTGATTTTGATTTTCTGAGCTCAACTTCTGCTTGGAGGAACATAAATTTTTTAACTTTATTTCTAAAATCAGTTTCTGAAAAATGTTGGGCTGTTTTATGGTACCTGAAAGATACTAATTTACATCTCTCACAATGTTTTTATTTAAATATGATTGTTTGAACAAGACAAGTTTCTTGCATGCTTATAGCTAAGGGTCATGAATTTTCTGGAATTGTCTCATCCTCCCAAACTCTTTCTGTTTTTCTCTTGTGTGTGCACATGTTTATTGCTAGTTTTTCATTTTATTTCTTCCTCTTTTTTCTCTTCAGGTTTGAAATTTTGGAATCAGGAAAAACTGAGAATCTCTTCGGGTAATCTTTGTACTGACAGTTTAAAACTTCAAAACTGCGTTAGCATCAAGACTGTATGTTTCGCTGTGTTAATTTATTTTCCTTCATGAATATTGTTAACATCTTGCTATGGAAAGTGATACAGAATGGGTGAACATTCTTTGAAAAGCAATGTAAATTTTTGTTTAATATCAATGAAATGTTTTTTTTCCTGTTTGTGCACACTGTGTACTTGAAATTGTCCACTCCTTCAATTAATCTTTTTATGAGCAGTATTATATGCTTATTGCTCTGAGCCTCTCAGTACACTAACATAACCTTCCTGGTAAGTAGATGACACACAAAGTCCAGTTGTCAGAAGAAGTATCCATAGGTACTAGGTGTTTTAAGGGTGCTACCGGTATGTTGTTCTCTTGACTAAAACAAACAAACCTACTGAGATTCTTCTCATTCAAAAATGGCTCATGTACGTCTCTCAGGGAATTCGTGGATAATGTGTTGGGAACATTGAGAAAGGGAAGACTTCGGTACCCAGAAGCTGTGTGGGTGTTAATGGAAATGGAGATGCAAGTGACTTTTGTGAATGGATTTGGTGGATGGGGGGGGGGGGGTGTTACATTAGGCTGGACAAGAAAAAGCTGGACATTGTGGTTCCCTCTTAGAGGAGCTGTAGTGAAGTAAAAGTTTTACAATGATCGCAACTACGGAAGGCCTTAAAACCATGGCTGAGAATAGGGATGCAATAATACTAATATTTAGAAAATTCCAGAAGAAAAACTGGTGATAAGATCTGTACCCTTGGCTTCTTTCTTTGTGTTTGACGGATTTTGTGGTGAAAAAGAGCAAGAACAACGGATGGCTTTTGTGTGGTCAACATCCACTGGGCAAAGGACGCTGTTGTCTGCCTCCTCATGGCACATATCTCATCAAGCAGCAGACAAGTCAGCTGGTTCACAAGGAAAAAAGCTTGTTCAGTTCAAAAGCAGTGCAAGTTTTTGTTTTGTCTTAAGTATATTACCTTGGATGGTGAACTATGCCTGAGCAGAACGAAGCCAGAGGAAACTGGTGGAAGTATCCTGGACATGTTTGGAGGACTGAACTTGTATTCATTTGAGACTGTCGAGATTTATAAACGTTTATGATGTGGAAGTTTGTGTATTGCATTTAGTCATTTTTATGGTCAATGACTTGTCTTTTGTTCCTCAACACTGACCCATGTGTTCATGTGCTCTCATATGGGATTAGCATAGCAGCCCCTGCACATGCCTCTGATGTTTTGATGTTTGTCCTTGTGGCACAGATGTGTAATGTGGGGTATCTGTATGTGTGCACTATGTGTGATGCTTGTATGTGATGTTCTGTGTCTGTTCATGATATGTGGTATCTGTACATAATGAGATGTGAAGTGTCTGTTGTGGCTTCCTCCAGTCCTCCAGTAAATCCTCTGAAACCTGACATAGTTAAGAATGAACTTCAAGGTGAAGTCTGTTGTTTGGTTATGTCAATATGGAATAAACTTTTGTAATGTGGAAGCTACAGCGTTTTGTATTTACCCATTTTTATTGTCTGTGACATGCAATCATACATTTGCATAACTTATATGCAGATTCATACACGTACCATGTACGTAGACTGATTTTATTCTTTTCCTATTTCTATATGCGTGTGTGTGTGAGAGAGAGAGAGACAAAGACAGAGAGAGAGAGAGAGAGGAAGTGGGAAAAGAAATGCTTGTAATAACACTCATCCTATGTAGACAATTTAATTTGTAGCATTTCCACCCTTTTTCTAGTTGGTGATTAGTGGGCTCTCAGGTGTAGTCTTCTCCTTCTGCTTTTCCTTGTATGTGACTGTTGTCTCTATTCACGCGTAGTGAAGTGTAGCCAATATTCTGCTGACTCAGTGCAGACTGCTATTTAACATTAGTGACTTTTGTAATTCATTTCTGTGTCAGGCAGTGTGCTATAACATGGTCAGATACAAACTGTGCTGACTTGTAGATGATGTTCGTTTTGTCTGTCTCAGTACAGCTGATACTAACAGTTTTACTTTTCAAAATAGCCTGTAATCTGTCTTGTAGAGCTGTAGATCAGATCCAAAAGCAATATTTTGACAAGGGGTTAGAGGGCACCACTATGAGGTCTTATTTGTTTTCTTCCTTTTATTTTTGTTTGGCTGTCTTTCTTTTTCCATGGCATGAAATAACTATTATTTTGTCAATGTGCTTAATGGAAAGTAGAGCATATTGTCATGCATTTAATGCTTGGTCTTTTATTGCTTTTCTCAGGAACGTGGACCCACCGATATGGTATGATACCAACGTCAAATTGTTTGAGATTCAACGAGTGTGAAGTGTCTGGGCGAAGTGAAGCGGTCTCGTTTCCATGACGGCAATGTGATAGACAGTGTGTGTGACGGAGTCTAAGATGAATGAGGACGAAACTGTGTGCTCGACTCCGATGATATTTGACCACTGGTCTCACTCATGTGCTATCTTTGTACTGGGACCAAACAGATCTGTCAAACTGTACAAAACAGACTTTAATGTAACTCGAGTTTTTGCTTCCTGATTTTGTATGAATGTGGGTGTACTTTGACCTGTTGGAAGGGCGATAATTCAGAGGTCAGAGGCTACAGGTGGGGTCATGACTTCTGGTAGTAGATTTTGTACAAAGCAAGTGTAGTAAGGTAGTTTTAGTTTTACAGGTAGATTCTTCTGTTTCAATCTTGTTTTGCTTTATGTTTTATCAGTGATGTATACATTGACAACATGGCTGTCTTTGGCTGACTTTTCAAATGGAATATGATAAATTTGTACAGGTAGTCGTAAGATTACTCAGTATTGACATTATTCACACTTATGGGGGGGCTAATATACTTCACGTTTCTTTTACCCAAATATTATTAGATCTGTCGTTTTTCAGGTGGGTATTTTGAGTAGGGTGTGGGGGGTGATTTTCGGCCAAAATGTTGCATATGTAATCGTTTTTAACACCTTTGTTTCCTTCGCTGTATTTCTTGTTGTGTTCATGCAAGTGACATTAGGTCATAAAAGATTAAAAAGCTGCTTCAACTAATTCATGCTTAGCGGTGTTCTCATAGGATTTCTCTATCTGTAGTTTGCAGGCCACTGTATCTTTCTCTTCTCTCAATAGTGTGTTGAAAAGAGTGCAAATTTATTTGAGCTGTCGTAGTGCGTTGTTGTCTCACTGTGATTTTATTGATCTATATATTTATCTTCATTCCAGTGAATGCATTAGGCATGCTTTATAAATGAGACTGTTGAAAGTTTGAACTGTGTAACTGTGCTGGTTGAAAATCATAATGATTTAGCTCAGGTTTGTTCCTGAACGTGAAAGATGGGATGGACGAACAGAACATGGAGGGTTGCTAGTGCAGAAATAAGTGTCTCAATGCAGAACAGAACATAAGTTCTGCCATGTATTCAGGCATGGTCTTGCTGTTACACCATGTTCTTTTATGCTGAACGTAATTCTGTTATATGATCAAATAGAGTTATGAGATACTTTAATCCTTGCCCTAGTGTGAAAGTGGATGTCTTGTGTGGTCTTGAGACGGCTACAGAGACTCCAGCAAATGCTGAAGTTCAGTTAGATAATATGAAGAAAGGAAAAGCTTGCCTTAAGTTAGTTATCCACCTGATCTTTCTCTGGTAAAATTTGTTGTTTCGCGATATACGAGAATTACTCATCTCGAACCAGAAGCATCTGTCCTGCATTTGTAATGAGCATTTCCAAACCCTTTCGTCTGTCATTTTAGTGCTGCTCTCATGAACTTTATGTATGTCTTGCTCAGTAGTTTAGCTCAGTGATGGCTTATATAGACATCACTCACCACTGCAAGACCTGCTCAAAAACATTCCTGGTCATCAGGCCAGAGCTAGTATTAGAATGATAAAAGTGCAATAAAATGTTTGAATTCTGAAATATGAAAGGGGTATCTTGGGATACCCCCCCATGCTTAACAAGAGAACACTGATTCTTTTGGCAACAATCTGTTATTAAATTGCAGTGCTGTTTTGTTTTGTTTTTTGTTCTTTATTTCTGCTTCATGAGATGATGTAGTGTGGGCTAGTTGCTTCCAGGTGTGTGCATAGTGTCTTTAGTTGCTGTAGTTTTCTTCTGTTGGGTAGAACTTGATCTGATGTACATAGAAGTCTGTTGGGATATGAGTGGATAAAATGCGTTTGTTGAATCAAGATTAATGGAATGATTGCTATGTAATCTCTGTGACAAGTATTGAAGGCGAAAAACAGCTTGTATTCAAATTATCTATTGTGTTTGTGCAATATGGTTGTGTTTGCGACAAATTAAAATTACAAGAGGTGTGGCTGGATTGATGCGTCATACCTGATAGTTTGGAGAAGAGCAAGATCTATCTGTAACAATGTATACTGGCATTGACTGAGTGGGTGGAGATTACGTTGATGAACTTCTCCAACTATTCTGCCAGTTCCCGTCTCCCCATTGTCGTCTACGCAGAAAATCATTCCGTTCATATGATGTATTCATAACCCATCACTTCTTCTCATGTGCTGAGAGGTTTCCATTAATTTTGGACTATGTGATACATACGTTTTGTCTATTATGATGTATATATTATTTATATACATTAATTTTTAAGTTTAAAAAAATTCATTTTATTGTATTCCATGGATATGTGCAAATTCTTAGTAGTATTTTTCTTTGTTTCTTCTGCCAATATTCTTGTGTATGTTGATCTCAATACACCTTTTTGTTAATGTTCCAGTTTTTCCTTGTGAACATTTTCCCGGACCTTTCTGTTTCCACTTCATCTGTTTACAGTTTTATTCTTCTTTTTGTCAGTTTACCATTCTGTTTCTACTCTAGTCGAGGGACTATTCTGATTTTCACTTCCATGTGTTTGCCAATATGTATCTTCTTCTGTCCATACGTTCACTATTCTGTTAGTAATTTGCTTTTCTCTAACCCATTTTGTGTGTATATCTGTTCACCACTGTTGTTTTAGTCTGTTTACCAATCTGTTTACACTTCCATCCGTTCACCAAGTGCGTTGTGTACCTTGTAACTCGGGACATAACTGGATCATTTTGACCACAAGAACTGGATAATCTTTTACAAATGACTTTTCATATGTTCAGCTGATCAGACCAGAAAACTTGTGTAATAATTTTCTGCCCTGAAGTTTCCTCAGTCTAATCTCTGGTGTAAATATTGTCTTTCATGTCGTGAATCTCACCCTGGGATCGAGATGCAGTCTTAGTGTTGTCACTCTTATGTGTGTGGCTCAGTGGAAATTCCCATCATGTGATTTTCCTTCTGTCTCTTTTTTTTTGCTTGGTATGGTACCTTTTCTTTCTGAAATCGGTGTCTGTTGCGTAATGGCTTTAGGATATACGTGCAGCAAACGTGGGTTTGATTCCCATGTGGTGAATTTATTTTATGGAGCATTTCAGTTTGCTGGGATGCTGTGTCCAGGTCAAGTCTGGCTTGGTTTTGACAGGCAGGGTTGCAGCAATCTCACTTGTAAATGATTGTAGAGTGTGTAGATGGGGGCCCAAAACATTTATGTTCATATTTTTACATCAATCGTTCTTTGTGAAGTCTCACGTCGAAGTGCATATATTGCTCTTCTGTGAGATTTTGCTGTTCATTGGATGTATAGTTTTGTGGATCTGTTCAATTGAAATATTCTTTTGATGACTGATGTGGAAAGGGTGACGATGTTTGTGTCTGATTTCTGATTTTGCAGATTGATCTCCCACCATCTTGCAGAGACTAGTTTTTAAATGGAACAAACATTGACGAGGAAAGTAACATTATACGATTGATGATATGAATTTGAATATACAAAGTAAAATCTGTAACTAAAAAATGCCTTATCAGGCTTCTAAGAATGAACAATTATAGGATAAAAATAACAAACATGGTTGTAGTCATTTTGATTAATTTTGATCTGTACTAGATATCTTTTCTTCCTTTGCAAAGTTGATAACTTTGATCACCAGCCAGGTTGTACAGTTTGTTACTTCTGACACCGAGAAGTATAGAACGAATTATGTAATGAGAAGTTTTTGCAGTGCATATTTTTAAAAAATCCAAATTTGGTATGAGTAGGGTGTTAAATTCATACAACAACATCAAGAATGTCTTTTAGTTAACATTTTGGTTTTGTAATGGTTTCAGGGTTTTGTACCAGTACTGACATTTTGCTATCCAGTGTTGCTGTACAATTGTGTCGTGGTACTCATTAGTTGCCTGTGAGAGTTCCCAACTACTGTAAGGAATGATGAAGGGTCATTGCAGGCTTAAAAATTTCTTTGAGATTTATTCTGAGCTTTTGTTTGTGAATTGTTCTTATGAAGTGGAAAAGAGTTTGGTTTTCTTAACTGGAAACCTGATACAATGGCACAAATATCTTTCTTGTCCATGGGTAGTTGGAGGCCACCAATGTTAGCTCCTTTGTTTCTCTGTGGCTCTGCTATTTCTGTCTGGCTTTTCCCCAGCACTCAGTGCCCACTGTCATGGTGACAATATGTTTCTCTTTAACTCAAATGAGTTTTCTTCGTCTAGGTGTCTGTGTTTACGAGTGGTTGGAGGGTATCACTGGTAGATCATACCTCTTTTCTTTGCCTCTGTTGTTTTATTGTTCTATCTTGCTTTTCCTTGCACTAAATAACCGTTCGCGATTCGATATTTTTCTCTTTAGTGTGTGTGTGTCAGACTGTTTGAAATGTTCCTTTAGCATGCATGCTGTGTACATTAAACACAAGTTGACATAGTGGGACTGTAAGGTCTGATGTTCAGGCTTTTGTGTCGTGAGTAGACTGGCCACAGACTTGTACAGCAGAGCTCAGGCGAAATAGTTCTGTCTATTTTGCATGTGTTTGCATAGGGCCAGTGGTAGGTCCCACCTTTTTTCTTTCCCTGTTTTATTTCTGTGTGCCCGTCTTAACTTTCTCCATTCATAAAGTGGCCATTATCTAGTGGTTGTGTTGCTCCTCTCTCAGGCAAACTCTGTCTACTACTATTTGTTCTTTCTTTGAGTTTCCTGTGCGCCTTAATCTTGATTTTTCTGCAATCTTTGCAATACGTTAATCAGGTCCACTCAAGGCTTTTTTGCTCCTGTGGCATTTACTAATATCTGGCTGTGCCATGGCGCGCCAGCAAGTCAAGTTTACAGTTTTAGCTGTATTGGGTACATTGATTTTTTTATGGTCATGATTCTGTAGAACAACAATCATTGTTTACGTTATTTAACCCTTTTTTTAAACTGAATGTTTTATACATGTCGTGTATATTGTGACGATGACATAACCCTTAACCCCCCCCAATGTTGTGTTGTGATGTGTTGTCACGTGACTTGTGGCGTGTGACTTGGTGATGTCCTGATGGTTTCATGACGTGGCTGTTGGCGTCCATTGGCCAGGAAGGAGTAGAGGAAGTAGGAGAGGAGGGAGGAGAGGGGAGGCGGGTTGTGTCTTTAGTCAGTGCTCCCCTGACTGACTGCCTGGGAATAACGATGGAATAAATACATAGAGAAGGTGGATCTGACTTGCGTTGTTGTATTTTCAGCTGTGTGACCTGTATATTTACATTTGTTGTGTGTTCTACTTTTGCCGCACTTGTGCCCTGAATGTGTTGTGCTTGTGTTCTTCTTTGGCTCAATGTGAGTCATAGTGCAATAGGACTTTCTCTAACTTGATCCCTATGTGTTTTTTACTGTGGCTCATAGCTTGGCTTGTCATCAGCCCCTATGATGTCATCAGGCTGTTGCCCCCCCCCCCCCCCCCCCCGGGTGGTAGTGCCACTGACTGTAGTGTCTTTAGGCCATTCCCAAAGGGGGGACATTTCTCTTTCAAGCACAGTAGAATTGTAAATGGGCTGATTCATTTCACGCTCATAACTGTGCCTGATCTACAACAGGGAACTGCTGCTTCTTCTTTCTAATCCTTACTATTGTCATTTTCCTCTACTTCTTTTTTATGTTTGTCACTCTCTTGTGACCTGCTATTTCCGGGGTGCCTTGATAGTCAAAGCAGACCTTGTGCTGTTTAAGCTAGAGAGGTGAGCGTGGGTGGTTGACGGGTGCTCTGGCGTGGTTTGCTTCTTCTCTCCTGTCAAACATCTATCGTCCTTATCTCCCCTTTTTGCTTTTTTATGTTTGTTACTCTCTTGTAATACAGCTCTAATCTTCTGGCGCTCATATGACCTTATGCAGTTGCGAGCGCCGTAGAACTTCTACTAAAACTAAACAGAGAGGTGAGCTGAATAAGTCTGATTCCCGGTAAAGACTTCTCTGTTGACACCCACCCCTTGGCGCTCATATGACCTTATGCAGTTGCGAGCTCCGTAAGACCCTCTACTATAATATTTAAAAAATAAAATAAATCAGACTGTAGATAGCTCCTCTTTAGCACTCTCTCTCTCTCTTTCTCTCTCTCTCTCTCTCTCTCTCTCTCTCTCTCTCTCTCTCTCTCTCTCTCTCTCTCTCTCTCTCTCTCTCTTTGTGTGTGTGTCACACACACACACACATGCACACACCCACCCACACACACACACACTTGCACACAAGACTGCATCTTGACCTTTGCCAAACCCCTGAAACTGACTCGCCGAACGCCTGGGATTCG